GAAGGAAGTTCACATTGCTCATCCATCTGCCATTAAAGTAACTACATGAATATTTCTTTTACAGAGCTTGTCTGAGTGTCAGCACCTCATCAAGTGGAACATTGACACGCCTTTTCCGGTGCAGCCATAGAAACCACACAAATCTGAGTTGTTTGCCTTCTGCATTTGCATGAAACAGCTGAGAAACAACATCTGTGGGAGGTGGAAGCGATGGCCAGAGACGGATCATCTAAAAGCAGCTCACATATAACTAAATAGGTAAGCAAGCATGTGACGTAACGGGTGTCTCACCTCATCCTGGCTGGTCTCTACTTTGGGGTTGCTGGCGGTTCTCTTTAGGTTGCTGCTGAGGCTGATGCTGATGGTGGCGTCGGATTTGGAGCGTTGGTGGGTGCGTTTGGAGGGCGAGAGGCTGTGTTCACTCATGCCCTGACCGTGATGGAGGGGTGGGGGGCAGGAAGGGGGAGGCTGCGGCACCTCCCTGCGGATGCGCTGGCTGGAGGGCTTGAGCTCGTCTGACAGGATGAGTTTACGCAGTTTGGTGCCACGGGAGTGGCGCTGCGTGGAGATGTGCATGTCAGAAGAGTAGGCCCCCAGCAGCCAGGCGCACTGCAGGGAGAAATTGATGCTTTGCCGGCAGCGGTGCACCACGTAGGGCTTGATGGCATCGCCCACATCCTCGTCCATGTGGATGTACATATTGAGCAACTGGGGCAAGTAGAAGTCCACTTCTTCGTTCCGGAAGCTAAAGAGTCGATTGCCGATGTAGGCTTGCACACCGGGCTCCTTAGAATTGTAAAGATAGGAGATGCCCATGGAGATGTCAAACAGCTTGGACTCAAAGAGCCGCAGGAGCCAGGACTGCTTGGACGAGTTGTTCTTTTGACGGCGCCGCACGTTCTTCACAGGCTCTGCTTCCTCCTCGCTGATCTTGGGAGGTTTTCCTCCATCTGTGGACAGGGGGTGTGCTGTACCGTTCACTAAAACTGGCTCTGAGCTGGCTGAAGATACTTCTCCATCGGCCTTCAGGAACTTCACCTTTTGAAGAACTTCCTGGCAGGCTTTCTTAGCCACCTCGGTATCGATGACTAGGCTGAGTTCGCCCACTCCCTCGGATATGACATCTAGAGGGGGGCTGGAGGTGGGCAGGCCTTCACTGGTGCTCGGGCTGGAGCTGGTGAGGGGACGAGGGCCAGAGGAAGGAGATGAGGGCAGGGACAGCGAGGAGGTGGTGGAGGTGGAGGAAGCGGATGGGCTCTTCTGTAGCTCCTCGAGCTGAGCGGGGGAGAGCTCCAGCTCTGTGTCCCCCATGGCCACACACTCTCAGGCCACTGCTAAACACAGAGAGACAACAAAACACACTATCAGCAAGCAAGCTTTAGTAATGACAACAGGATGGCAATTACAATGCATTTAAAATGCTGTAATGTGAAACTGATGAGTGAAATAGACTGTTAAGCAGGAAAAATTTGGGTTGGGACTTTTCAGTGGCAGATAAATGACCTACACTACAATTTAAAAGTCTAGGGTCAATAATAATTTTTTTGAAAGAAATGAATACTGTTATTCAGCAAGGTCGCATTAAATGAATCAAAAGTGACAGTAAAGACATTTATAATGTTACAAAAGATTTCTACTTCAAAATAAATCCTTTTCTTTTGAACTTTCTGTTCATCAAAGAATCATATTAAGCAGCACATATGCTTTTTCATCATTATGATAATAAGAAATGTATATTGAGTGGCAATCAGCATATTAGAAGGATTTTATTTTCTGAAGGATCATGTGACACTGAAGACCAGAGTAATGGCTTCTGAAAATTCTGCTTTGCCATCACAGAAATAAATGGCACTTTAAAATGTATTACACTTTGAAATCATTGTAATAATATTTCACAATATGAATGTTTTCCTGTATTTTTGTTTTAAAAAAATCATGCTTGGTGAGCATGAGATACTTCTTTAAAAAACATTAAAATAATCTAAGCAATCCCCAACTTTTGAATGGTGTTGTACATGCTGGTGAAAGCAAACAAACATTTAAGACAGTAAATAGGGTCAGTTCGATTTCATTTTGCCTTTAAAATATCAACTTACATACAGGCCTAAACATCTGAGAAATCAGAGAACAAAAACAATGAACTGTTACTAAAACTGAAGTTTTGCCCAACATGTGACCGCACACATTGTAAACAGCCATTCAAATATAAAATTCACAATAACCCAGAGGAACAGGCTTTACTAAGCGCCACTTCCCCAGGGTCACGACGTCCCACTGATCCACAGCTACGCAGGACAGCACCATAATCCGCCTCCAGCAGATTACCTCACCATTACCAGCAGGCCAATATCAGATAAAGCAAGGCATCAGTCTCAGATTCCACAAAGCTGCTACATTATAAAACCCCATTGTGCTTAAAACAGATCAGGCTGTCAGAAAGAGGCAGTTCACCATATAGTCACCTCCAGAAGTACCCGTGGTTCTACTTTCATGTTGTTAACAGTTAAAAACAGTTAACAGTCCTCAAGTTGACAATGGAAAGTCAGACAAGTTACAATGATTAGTTTAGCTAAATGAAAGACAAATCAGCTTGAGCAAAATTGTTTGTTCTTAGACCACTGATATTTAAGAACAGGAACAGAAACTGTACCAGATGAAATCAAAACTGATTCTGAAAGCGATGCGATTAAAGCACATGTCAAATGGTGGCGACTGAGTCAGCCTTGAGGAAGATGCCAGCTCGCCTCTCCTCTCACATATCACATGCTGACTCCATCTCTGGTGGATGGATTACTCTAAACAGACAGTTTGTATGTTGTTCTAGCTTGCCAGCTCTTTCTCCATGTTAAATCCTGCGAAACTGAAAAACACTGCTCTACAACAAGCCTCAACTGATAACAGTAAGAGTTGCAACACTGATTCACCAAATCAAACCACAAGCACAGGCCTACTTCTATTGTTCGGTATCAAAATGTTTCACTGAACTTCTCTGATTGCAATGGAAAGAGTAAATTCAATCAGCCTTTGCCCTGAAATGTGAGAGATCTAGAAGAACACAAAACATGTAGATCATGAACGATCAATCTCAAGAGTCCCCTTCTGCCAACACCCACAACACTTTCCACAATCCAAAACCATTATTATCTAACTATTTGATGAAACCCTTGAGTAACTAGATTACAAGACTGTCACAGTATAAATAAACCATGAAATCCAATAATCTTGATATCAAACACACTGAAATAAAATCAACAAACTTAAAGCCAAGTGTGTAAAGACAATCGGTAGCTATAATTTGGATTGATGTGATGCATCAACTGGTTCGATCAGGACATAATGATCTAGATTAACTAAAACAACAACGATTAACTAGTTAATCAACTTGCCATAAAAACACACTGTCAATGTTATTTCTTTTTATGTTACGTACGTTAGTTTTAAGTCTACAGACAACTGAGAGCACAAGCACATCAAGCTCGTAATGACACCCATATTTATACTCTGATCTGCTTAATCAAAACATTAATTGTTTTGTCCTATTTCAGACGTTTAAAAAGTCAATCAGTCAGATGACTTTTGCACTCAAGTTAGCATCTGAGCGTGTTTAGCTGAAGACCTTTAAGAGACACGTCGACTACTTTTCTCTCTTGTAGGGCTCAAAGAGATTTTTTCCTTCAAAACAGTATAATAGTATGTGTGCTGAACAACAACATAATTTAATTAACACTAGTTATTATTAAATGTTCAACTGTTTTGAAGGCCTGAAAGGATGCTACACTTAGCCAAGCAGCTAACGCAACGTCTCTAACGTTACTTTAGAACGTTCTTCTACTTTTGAACCGACCCAAGGAAACATAAAAACATATGACTTACCTCAAAATAAACCCGGTGAAGGCTTAAATGATCGGTTTATCTGTATTTTAACTGCCCCATTTGGGATCTGCGGCTCTCCTGTCGCTGAATAACCGGTGTGGTTCGCTAAGAATTAAACGAGTGGAGAGATGACACGCCGGGGCTGCCCACATCAACTGCCTGATTCCAGCATACAACACATACAGCCTGTGCCTCAAAACACAGAGAGCTGCCTACCAAGACAACATTCTTGGGCATTTAGGCAATGCCAACAAATGCTGTCTAAGCAGGAAGCCCACTAGGCTTTGAGACACAGCTAAAGAGGGTGATAACATTTTACATGCTTGCTGTCCTTTTATAGTATGTTTACACATTTTTAAAAGGGTTAAAAACATTAGCTGTTGTAAACTCAAATAAACTGAAGCTAGTCGTTTGCCTCTCAATTATATAAAGAAATATTAGTATAATAACAATTGCTAATATTTTTATACTCCACTTTTTACAACTATTGTTATTTTTATAAAATGTATGCGTGTGTGTATAATCTGGTTGAGTCAATAGATGACATTTAATTTGATATTTGATGCATATTAGTTTTTACTAACCATTTTACATATTCCTCCTATTTATAGTTGTACTGTATTTATTATTACAGAACATTGTGGGGGGAAAAAAAACACTTTTTAATAATACTTTAATTTTAAGTAATATTTGTCCCCGTCTTCAGACTCGGAAAGATAACTTTTTATACTTGTGCACTACAATGACAATAAACAAAACTAACCTAAGTAGTGCTGTAATTCCTTGTGTTTGTTGTTAAACAAAATTGCATTTCTCTTTTTCTGCATCTTGATAAGAAAAGCATGCCTTAAAAATAACATGTAAAAATATTCACTCCCGTTATTACACTCACATGTCCATTTTGTTCTTTGAGGGTTTCTTAAGCACTGACACTCGAAATACAACGATTGCTTTGTTGTAGAATGTATTCCTAATACAATATTTTAAAATGTGTGCACGTATAGTGATGCTGATTGTGTGCACTCGCTCTGTGCGCTTGCACAACGTGTTTAAAATCTACTTTGCAATTCTAATGATTTGGAAAGCGCTTACAACAACAAATGAGAATACCTTTGAATTCACTGGGATGCAAAATATTTATTTCAAAAAATGTAGAAAGCATATAAAGACAATGAAAATTAGTTTTTGTAGTTAAGATGTGATTTACAGCATAGTTCACTCTTGTAATTGCTAATTGACACATAATAAGTTTAAGGATTTGGTCCATACATAGATTAAACGTGATCATGATATTGATGATATCTCCACTGAGAAAATGGGAATAATAATTCTGCTCCTTGGAACATAATGGTTTGGCCCCAATTTCATAACCAGATATCAGAAGTGCAGTCTCCACCAGGATATCTGAGCTCATGGGCAAGTGCAGGACCATCTGGTTCTGCTCCGAAATCCACAAGGAAATTCTCGTTGAGCTTCAGGCCACCTTTATCTGTGTCCACGTCAATCTGCATCATGACCGACCCCTCCCTCAAGAGAAATAAGACACATGTTCCAGCATAATAAACAAACCAGAGGTTACTTCTGAAACCATTTAAACAGCCTAATTTCTTAATCTTTGATTGATTTACATACAATACTCAAGTAAAATTACAAATAAAGATCTTTTGTCTCACTTGACGAGGTCAGGGTAGAACTGCTTGTCCCAGGCACTGTATAAAGAGGTGGTGACGTACAGACGTTTTCCATCCAAGCTCAGCTGGAGCATCTGAGGGCCTCCCTGCACACGTTTTCCCTGATGAGGAAAGGAACGTGTTAACCTCCAACAAATGATGTGCTCTAATTGCTCTGTTTAGGTCTGCATGACCTAATGATTTATAGTACAATAAGCTGGGTCATCTGTCAATTAGTTAGTTACCAACAGCTTTAGGCTGTTTTCCTCCACATAATGGCTAACTCAAATGTGTACACAGAGCTCACAGGAAGCATACTTGGAAAGAAAAAAAAAAAGGTACCTTTAGTATCCGTGGGGCAGGCTGGCTATCCAGTTCTTTGTCCTCCAATACTTTCACTGGTCCATCTTTTAAAATGCTGCCTGCAAGGAAGACCTTAAAAATGCATTTCATGAAATTAAATACAAGTTCTACTATCTTGACACTTTATTTGTCTTTGACATTATTTTAGAAATGTAGACAAAGGAGTCTTGATCCTGCTAATCCAAGCTGTCTTACCTGACCAACCATGCGTGGATTCCTCCTGTCAGTGATGTCATACTGTCGAATGTCTCCATGCAGCCAGTTACTGAAGTACAGGAAGCGATCATCCAGTGAGATCAAGATATCCGTAATGAGACCTATGGCAAAAAATACACGAGTAAATGAGTGTCTAATTTTTTTATGTTTGGGGGGGGGGGGGTTAAACTGGAGGAGGTCAGTGATGTCATACTGTCGAATGTCTCCATGCAGCCAGTTACTGAAGTACAGGAAGCGATCATCCAGTGAGATCAAGATATCCGTAATGAGACCTATGGCAAAAAATACACGAGTAAATGAGTGTCTAATTTTTTTATGTTTGGGGGGGGGGGTTAAACTGGAGTACAGGAAAAAAAATTAAAGGGGGAAAAATATACATTACATTACACAAACAATATTTAGAAATAAGACAAATTATTATTAATTCAGACTCTTTTTTTTTTTTTTGACTTTTTGCCATTAAAGTAGATTGTTGAATTGGGGCTCAGGGAAAATATGAGAGAGAGAAAAAATTGAGAAAAACCCCCCAAAAAATTACTAAATGTATTTTTAGGGCTGTATATATCAAAAGTTTAACACAGTATTTTCTAAACATTTATTACATTTCATATTAGTTTCATTCTTTTCAAAACTAGTCAGAAATAAACTTAAAGTTAAAAATAATCATTATTCATAACTCTTTTATTCTATTGACAGCCCTAGTTTTTTTTAAAGTTTATATATATAACACTAACAGTATGTAAAAAAATATACAGCAACTTTTATGTTTTAGAGAGGGGGTCCTTTGCTAAGGGGATCGTTGTATTTAGGGGGTTACTAATGTCAAAATTGTTCTATACTATAGTACTTTTTTTTTTCTCTTTATGGTTTGGAAATTACATTGTACATATAATACTTATTGTTTGTTCATTCCCTGAGTTAAAATAATTTAAAAAAAACTACATAAAAAGTAAAACTTAAATAAATAAAAAAATACTGTTACATTTCTAAAAGCATTCACCTGGCATTTCAAGAAGAGCCCAACCTTCCACTTTTTTGCTTGGAATATGGATGACTTTCTCTGCTGCCCAGTCTCCTTTCTGTAACATGAAAAATCTGAATCTAAAAGCATGTATTGCTTAAAAACTGGGGGCCATAAATAAAAGGGTAAGCCTAAAATGTGTATTGAAAATAAACAGAGGTGAACACAGCATCTTACCCTTGCCATTGCCAGAGGGATCACCCATGGTACTGATCATGATTTGGCCACTGCCTAAGCAGTGAGAAGTGTGGGGGTTGGCAAGGCCACATTTCCAGAACAGATCTATGGGCTCGACTATCTGGAGGAGGAGAGAGATGGAAAGAATTCATGGTCTTGGCAAGAACAAAACATTCTTAAAGTCAACAGTCATGTATTAAGGGGCGGTCACACTTGATGTTAAGCATTATGTCGTAGATGTTCAACAAAATCAATTAATACGAGTAAAAGGACTTGATGTCATGCTTCCGGGCTTTTAAAGGTTCTCTGTTTTTTTTTGTTTTGTTTTTTTTACAGAAATTGAAACAAATACTGGGGGTAAACTATGGAGTTCCACACATGACCAAAATAAATTTATCATGGCCACGAATTAAGAATTTGTTCTTTTATTCGAGGGTATGAATTAGTACTACTACATAGCCACGATTTACAAAATCAGGGAACGTATTAGTATAATGTGGCCATGATTTACTAAAACAAGGGAATTAATTCTTAATTCACTGCCATGATTTACTAAAATGAGAGAACAAATTCTTAATTTGTGGCCACAGTTTAAATAAAACAAGGGAACTAATTGATAAGTCATGGAAACTAATTCTTAATATATAGGGCATGTATTTTAACCAAAAATATTGCTTTAGACTTGTATTATAGATCAAGAAGATATGAAAACATCAAAATATGTTGTTTGATTTTCAGCCAAGTGGTTCATCTTTAAGACTGTGACCTCCATTGGTCAAATGTCTTTTCTTGCCTATTTGCTTGCCTGAATTGACCAAACATGAAGTATCAAGTACTATAGCATGCAGTTAAAATAAAAAAAATAATCTACTTCTTAAACGTCCTCAGATTACTAACCCAGATGTTCATCCACAAAGTTAACACCATCACAATAAGGGTATTCCTACACAGACAGCTCTTACAGTATATAACTGAGTGTTTACTTAAATGAACCTTATGAAGCCGTGGGGCCCGTGGATCCGTCCCTACATCAACGACGTAGATACGGGAGGAGATCAGGGAAGGCAGAATGAGACGATTGCGTCTTTTGGAGGGATCATCATAACAACTGCTACAAGCATTCCAACCAGAATGGTGTAGCTCATCCTTTAGATTAGGCATGGGCAGCCTGTGAATCACCTACATTACAAAAGAAATGCTACTAAAGTAGGTGTTATACTAGAAATATTAAAAGGAAACGTGTTGATGCCACATTTGAATCCAAAATATAAATCATATTTGCTTTTACCTTGCAAAAATTGGGAGATTGTGGATTGACATCAACAGTTGCAAGATAGTCAGGTTTCTGAATGTCTGTGTTGCGGTAAATACATGGTAGGTAGACAATCTCTTCTCGAGGCCCTGTAGGAAGAATTTAAGTTTAGAGTCTAAATGCAGACTGATCTTTGTGTCTTATAATTTATCAATAAATTCCATAAAGGGTGTACCATTTGTCTCCACAACAGTAGTGCACTAAAAATAAAGATTCTGCCGTTAAGTGTTTTACATGCTTAAATACACAAATTAAAATTAACAAATTTATCAAATTTATTAAAAAATAAAAAAAGTGAATGTTTATTCAACTGTATAATTTTAAAAATATATTATTATTATTTTTTTTTTTTTTTTTTTTAAGTAAGCAAATTCAGACTGTATAATTTTAAAAATATATTATTATTATTTTTTTTTTTTTTTTTTGTTAAGTAAGCAAATTCAGAAGCAAATTCAAAAGAGATAGGAAATGCATCTCAATCAGCTCCCTAGATTGTGAATAAGTATATGATGTACACTAGTTTAGGCACTGGTTCACTACGCATTGGGATTGGGACACTGAAGCAGTAAAACAGTAGGCAAACCAAAAAATTCAGAACAATGCCAATTTACAAGTGAGGAGGACCTCTGGTGGTGGGGAGAAGGAGCTGCAGTAATAGAGGTTATGCAGTGATAATAGAGCTCTCAGACAGTGACAGCGAGTCTCCAGTGCAAAGGTCACTGCTACATTGTAGTAGGCCTACCTTGCAAGTTGCAACTATGTATTACCAACTCATATGTTAATATAAACTACCAGCTCACCTTTCATGGCGTCTAAAGGGGTTTTATATCCTGGTCCACATCCTGAACAGGTTGAAGCTGCAAGCAGAGAAAGAGCATACGTCACATCTCAAATATTAATATGTGAGTTACACTCAGTTTGAGCAATTATTAAAGCATTAATAATTGCTCATTATTTAAGTGTAGAGGGTTTGATGATCTCTTGACCTACATACATAGTGCACCATCATATAAGTGTGAGTCCTAAACTCCTGTGTTCATTCTTAAAAGGCATGAATGATGAATCGCCAAGTGAACTACTGGATACTACTAGATAACACTTTTTACTGCCCTGTAAATGTTTGAAAACAATACACATACAAGCACACAAACCAACTACAACAGATGGGCAATATCACAGTGTAGGAGAGGACACTGTGTCTTGCCAAGGATTGTTCAACATCCTTCCCCTGATAGCTAGACATGTGTTTATGGGTTACGTGCAGGTCAACCCATAAACTGACCAACCATGTCCAAATAAAAAGTATATAATCAAAAAAAAATTTTAAACTTATGTTATTAACATAATTATTTCTGTATTGCACTAGATTAATATATTCTAGAACTTAAGCAAAGAATTGTTTTCAACCAAATGATACAAATTTGTAATTACATTAGGAATTTAATTTTTTTTACATGCCTCAGTTAACGCGTTAAAATCAAAATTTAATGCATCCCGAATCCACAACATTGCACGAATTCTACCTTAATGACTTTGACAGGTAGGCCTACAAATAACACGATTATGCCTAAATGTAAAGAATTTGTAGTGAAGCAATTCTTTATTCCAGACTGAAGCCGCTGCGTACTTCAGATAGAAATGTCGAAAGCTTAAAATAAAGTCTGAGCCACAATGGTAGCTAGGTTTAAAAGTGCACTAGAAGACACTCACCCATACTGCTGCTGCTGTTGCTTCCACAGGCGGAAACTCACTGACCAAACAAAGCGCTGCGGACGTGCAGAAAGATTTTATGTCGCTATTGAATGAACTCTTTCAGTTATGATACCACATGGGATTGTGAGATGATCCTTAAAACCACACCCAGGTATTCGACTGCAGAATAAAAAGATCAAATGTTGTTTGTCACCTCAGTCTCAGGAAATCAGCCCGCAAACAGGAAACGCGCCCCCTTTCTGGGGTATTTTGCCATACTGGGTAACTTTCTCTCAAAGGTAAAGTACCTTGGTCAGCTCAACAACAAATCGCCAAACTACTGTTAAAGATCGGATTTTTTCCATACTTAAATAGTAAATCTACAGCTTTTCAGGAATATGGGCAATTCGGAACTGAATTCTAATGATCTTAATGTTCAAATCAGTTCCTGAATTTGAATTAAAGTAGCAAGGGTGAAGAACTAATTCCAATTGCAAAGCTTTTTTACAGCATATTCAGGTTTAAAACATTTTAATGAAAAACTAGCCTATAAACGTGTATAAAGAATATGGGACCCGCCCCCCTGAATCGGTAAATTATGAATGTTTGAAATACCATTGCCACCTATATCTTTTTGTTACATTTTAATTAACTTTCATTTTAGGTATCAGTGGATGAACATTACATTTCCCAAAATGGTTTAACTCACCTAAATGAAGATTTAATTGTTCATTTTTAAGTTATCTGAAAACAATATGGTGGAAATTTTGTGGTGCTGCATTCCTGAAAAAAATGTAAAACGTTTAGAGAAATGTATCTAATCTGTTAAGTATTGTTTGTGTCAGGGCAAAAACAGTCAAATATAATCAGAATCACTCAAAATTATTTTTTTGTAATTATTTATGCTTTGTTACAAATCAATATCCTGCTCAGTGCTGTCGCTTCTGACTGTCCTGTATGAATTACATAACGTTCAGGTAATGCGCATGCTCTTCAAAATAGTGCAAACTTGAAGGTACTTGAAGTTTTTAGGAATCTGAGTGCAGATGCTGATCTCTGGCAGGCAGTGTGGGAAACCTCTTCCTGTCCACATTAAAACAAAGCAGGGAAGCATGGGGAAAAGGGTGGGCTTTATGCACAAACTTTAGTTTATTTACATTTTATTCATGAGGAATAGTCAAAAATGCCAAGTCACACACATAACACTTTTACAGTTTCATCAAAACAACATCCAAAAGACCCCCAGTTATATGAACTCCCACTTACCTTCATAATCAGACTGTTTACATAAAGCCCCACTATTTATTACATGTAAATTACATACAAAATTGTTGCAGCGAATGGAGATGCAATCAAAGTAAGCCTTTACAAACATGAAAGGGCACCAATTATGTGCTACAGAACATCTTTGAATTGAATGTCAATGAATGACACCTGGAGTGTAGTTACACCATCCTGTGGTTGCTACGGTAAATTCAGATGCTGAAATCAATACTGAATATACATACTTATCCCACTCCATTCACTGCTGCTGCTGCAATAACAATGCTAAGACTCTTCAGCGTGTCTCACGGTTTATTCGGTCTGGAAGTAGATAAATAACCAAAATGGAAGAACTTTAAGACAGTCTGAGCCTGCTGCCAGCCAACATGCTGAACTTTAGAACAGCCATAAAATGTAATAACAGACTCTGTAAAGCTATGAAATAAAAGTTGTATTGTTCTGTAATGGCCTATCTAACTTCAAGAGCTATAGTAAATGGTTACTAAATTAAACTATTTTAAATAGCACTTAGAATGACTGAAACTTAAGCAGGCGCAAAAACGCTGATTTACTTTCAGAGGATGTCGAATTGAAACGCAAATAATATCCGTCCATAAACAAAAAAAATCCTAACACTGAGGGAGCTATTGGATCGTTTTATGCTAGTGAATAAACAAAAAGAAAGAACAGTAGAAAACTTTGCAAAAATCAATCATGCAATGTCTATCCTGTAAATATATACAGTATTTAGAATAAAAAAAAATATTTTTACATTTTCACTCCACCACACAGTAGGATGTAAATTAAATATCCAGTCACATTCAGCCTAAATAGGTTTGCCTGACTTCGAATCCTTCTGTTCAACATCATAATGTCTCTGTAAATCAATTATCACCTGTTTGCCGAGTCCGTTTGGTAAACGTTAGCATCCTGACCAGATTCTGAGAATTGATCTTGTTCAGAGTTGTGTGAAGGAGGCTCTGATTCAGGGGATGAATGTGAGACATCTGTGGATTCACTTGCAATTTCCAAACATTCATCAGTTCTTTCCTTTTGTTGTTCTGTGTTTTTTATTTCAATTGGCATTGCATCTTCATCCTTTGTTTGACTGACTTCTTCATCCTCTGGCTCCTGTGTCAAATCAATTTTCTCTGTTACTTGGCTCACTTTGTCTACAGTGTGTGTGTCCATTGGCTCTTCTTCTTCTTCTGAGTCAAGATCTACAACTTCAGGTTCAAGTGTGGCCACCGACAGCTTATTTAACAGCTCCAAAGGTGAACCAGGCAAATCCGTATGTGCTTCCTGATCAGGAAGCAGGCGAGCCAAGCAGAATGAGTGTTGAATAAATTCAGGCCTACCAGAGAAGCAAGACATGGCCTCTTCCAACCAGGATACGAGAAGCTCCACCAGATCTTCACGCTGAACCCCCGATGCACAATTGATAGGTCGTTGTGCCCAACGAGCTAGAAGTAACCTTTGCAGCACAGGGCGTACACACATCTCTAGAGGTTGATGTCTGCCCGTACAGCCAGCTGGAACTATGCCAGGGAAGGTTTTGCTGCTACTGACTGTGGATATGATGCTCTCAGATGTTTGGCTATGATGGCTATCCATAACCAGCAGGGCATCATTTTCATTCTGTGAGTCGAGATGCTGCTTCCACACTTTGGTGGCCCAAATTTCTAGCTCTTCCGCTGCACTGAAACCTTCCTCCTTGGCCATAAGTAGGACTGAGTCTGGTGGGCTTCTGCTCAGCGCGTTTGTGCTCTGACTTGTGAAGAGCACTGCAGGTAGCACTGTACCATTTGCGAGCATTGAAAGGTAAATCTTTATGAAGGGCTTCCCAAACCCAGTAAACTGAAAAGCAGTCTCTCTGTTTATTCTGGTATTCTCATTCAGCATTTTAAAGTCCACAAAAACAGAAAGCTGATCCATAGCACCAAAGACACACTGTGGAATGTTGTTTGTCTTTATTTTACTGTGCACCAACTCTGTGAAGCGATGGCAGTTTTCCTCCATGGCGTTAGGGAGTTCCCTATATACTGTGAAAGGGGTATCCAAGCCCAATTTGTGCAGCATCATGAAGCTCACAGCCCACTCGTATGAAATACGGAAAGAATTTATCTCATTGGTTTGGCTTTGGAGCTCTGAAGCTTTTTCAAATAGTTTTGCCTCATTGATTGGACGCTGCTGTTCCCGTTGAGTCAAAACCCACTCCACCAGACGATCAACGGCCTCTCCACAGCTCGTGCTGCTGCATTCATTTAATTGATTCTCTTTGTCTTGAAGCCAAGTCTTGATGAGCTGAGGTTTGGTTTCCATTTCTTTAGCCGCTTTCTGGACCCCGGAGCACAGTGCAAGGAGTAGTATTCGACGCTGATGAATAGACAGAGTCTCCTCTCTGTTTTTCACAGGTTGTGTAAGTGTATTGGTTACCGTTACCTCTACCTTCTGTCTAGCCCCTGTTTCACATGGCATGTCTTCATCGCTTTCAGTCCTCTCAGATTCTGAGTCAGTATCTTCATCTTCCAGAGGGGCCATTTCCTGGTCCACGTCTTCATCTAGACCAGCATCAGCGCCACTTGAGTTTTTGATGTCGGCTGAAGATCTGTTCAGGCCTCTTTCCAACATTTCAGTTCTGTATTTAAGTCCAGGCTCTGTGCCTTCCCTGGAAGGAAAATAGTGGGTCACTTTCCAGAATCTGTATAACATGGAAAATGTGGCAACTTAAAATTTGCTAACTGAAAAAAGAAGCCATTTTCACACATTACTGTTAGCTGCATAAACTGCATATTCTTTCATAATTTTTACATTTAAGTTTAATCAAAAAGATGCATGCAATAACTAACGCTGAAATTAAATGTTAAATTAGGTGTAACTAAATTATTTGTTCTATTTTAAAATTTATCTACCTAAGGTTGCAATTTTTAATCAAACCATTGGTTTCTAAAATACTTACCTCTTGGTGTCAACGAATCCCACTTTTGGGTTACCTGTAGAGGAACAAATGATAATCAATTCTAACATCAGTTATAATAATCTACGACAATGAATATAAACAATGTGTTTTTTATATTTCATGTTAAAAATATACAACACAATGCATTATCACTTCAAATTAATGCATGCCAATTAAAAAGCGGTTTGAAAATGGTAAATTCCTTAATTTTGTGCAACATTTGAACAGAGAATAAACATTCGGAAATACATTGATTAATATTTAGTGTCAGTATTTGAGCTTTATAACCTTGGAAATTAGGTGAGAAACCATGGAAGTCCCAGAAGCAGCAAGAACGTTTGCACAGATTCACACGGCATGTTGTGCAGCCATATACACTCTCATGACGCATGTTTTTCAGGTTGCAAACTTTACATCTCCTTGTCCTACGGGTAATTTTGGCTAATCGATGTCTGACCCCTTCTTGCATGTCCGGATTTTCTTTTTTTACAATCTGCTGCTCAAGCATACTATCGTGGACTTGGTTCTGGCGAGCATATCTTGCGGCACACTTGGCCAGCTGGTACCCCAGACGTTTACGGTAGATGGCCTGGGAGAAATGTCCTCCCTGAAGCCACCCGGGTGGGTTGTCTTTGCGGGTCTCCCGTAGGACAATGAAAGAGTTGATGATGCTCAAGTTGACAAGGAACCAAAAGAGACGCCGCCAATTGGTGTCGAGAACCAGCCCGCCGAGTTGGTTGCACGTCAGGAGTTGATTACAGATGTCGACACCACGCATGTTGTCCTGGAGCAGCTTGAAGGCCTGGGGTCTTTCAACAGCACAAAGCTCTCCTATCTTAGATGGAGATCTCCTCCACACCATGTCCGGATGGCCTGCATCAGCATTTGTGGAGAGACATACCAGCTGCTTGTTATCTTTCCATCTGGTGGCGAGAAGTGGGGCGAATTCATACTGTTGGAAATCTCCTTGATTGTTCAGCAGAGGTTCATCCCAAAACTCCTTGGGAAAAATTGGACTTTGAGGGAGGACGGCGCTGGAGCAGTATATTCCA